TGAAAACTACAGCAGCACTAAAGGCTGATGGGCCAATGTCAATGAGTTAATTGGATAAATGTGACCTCAATGGCTTCTTCACCCCTCGTCTTCTAGTTAGTACAAGACAAGTGGGCTTCAGTAGAAGAATAGATTGTCAAAATTTGTTGGAAATGGGGCTTCACTTAATCAGTCTGGATGAAAATTGTGGGCATTAATCAGTGAAGCTATTAAAAAATACCAGGAAGACGAGAAAGACAACTAAAATTCAGTCCAGAAGCTAGTGCTCAAATTCTCTCCCTTTGTGAGTATACTGTAACACCTTGAAACATTATGGCTCTAGAATTTTTTTTTTTTTTTCCTCGGTCTAGTCAAGCCTTTATACGAGTAAATTGGTGATGCCTAATAGCTAAGTTGGATATATATGAATATCTTTATAGTTGAGGAGACAAAGTGACAACAAATATAAATTTATACTTTTATTTAATTGAGTCAAAATTTTTAGCTATTGATGGAATCAATTGCCCTATTAATATTAGGCTCTTTTTAAAGCTTGAATTAAAAGACGAATAATAATAATAATAATAATAATAATAACTACTTAATAATGTTAGTTATTGATTTTGACCATATTACTATAGTAATATTAGACTCATTTGATAGATCGTAATTAATTATGTATATTAAAATTTAGATACCATCAATTTGAATAAGACTAAATTAAGATTAGAATGATTAAAGAATTATTATGAGTAAAAAAATCTTAACAGATAAATTCATTTAGTATTTAGACGTGACTTTATTCCTAGTGTAATCAAATTATATGGAAGCTGGCCACTTTCAATCTGGGTTTGATAAAAGATAATAAAGATTATTTTGTAGAAATCAAATAAGAAATTGATTTTCATTTCAAATGAATATTTTTTTAATTAGCAAAAGAATATAATATTTTATTGTATAATCATATTTATCCCTAATTTGAAAAAGGATTTAACCATAACCAAGCCATCCAATTGAAATCCACGACAGAAAATTCAGTTTTTTTTTCCATTGGTTTACACGTGAATTGTATAATTTTGCAAAGTTGGTTTGTATCATATACAATACAGTTTATCTTTGTTTTAATCTTATAATTTGTGTTATCATTATCTTGAATTATAAAGCGATATGGGACACTTTTAAATTCTCACCCATGAAATAGGTAAATTCCGTTTATTTTTCTACAAATTAAAAATGAGATTGTACACATCGTAACTATATAGATCTAATCACACAATGATTACTCTTGATTTATAATTATCCTTCATTTGGATAGATTTCAACCTTATGGAGGATAATAACTAATACAATTCTAACCCTTATCAACTACTTTATGTTGTCTATAAATACTAATGTCGTACACATATTTTGCCAAGAACACCATTCTTTTAACTTTGGTTTTGTTCTTTAAATTCAATAGCTTCCTTGCTTTTTTTAATGTCCATCTATTCCACACACATAAACAGTTTCTCGATTTCAAGGGCACCAAGACTCTTTTTTTCACTATAAATATTTTGCAAAAGTCAAAATTGTTGGCACATATTTTAAAAGCAGAAAGCCATTCTCCATTTTAACTACGTTCAAGGAAGCCGCAGAAGTCTAGAAATTGAAACGAGGTAGGCTACTATGTGCAAGCGATTCATCCTTGCAATATTATAATTTTTTTTATGTGATTTATTTCATGAAATGCTAATTGACATGCGGGTCCTTATGAAATGAAATGTGAGATCTCCTTCGAGTCATCTCAAATATGTTAGAGTATTCGATTGATCACCGATTGCTCTTGATGGAATGATGGTATGGAATGTTGTAAATTCATGTTTTAAAAGTTATTATATTGTTTGGACGCACGTATCCTACTGAGTAATACTCATTCCTTCAATTTTAACATTTCAGGTCAGATTGGTCAACGTGGATGGTGGCTGAGTGGTGGGCAGGTTGCCAAGTAAAAGAAATTTTTTTAGGAATCCATAATAAATTTGTTAAGACATTTTATGTTTCTCTTTAATTCCATTTATGACACTATGTTTATTTGATTCAGTGTTTGAGTTTCAATAAATTAAGGTTTTTAAGTTTTAAATTTTATTTCCGCTTGATATATGATTATGGAATGATATCGGTAACTCCTCAAATTTTAAGTCAATAATAATTGGGGCGTTACATATACAATCTTTCCTCACAGATGGCGGGCTAGATATTCATTCGTCATTTGTTTCCTGCTTTGGTCTCCCGTGGAGCAACCTAAGCATAGTAATTGTTATTTCATTGTTTTTCTTGATTATTCCAAGTGTAGTGCATTAATTTTCTGACTTTAATTTTTCAAATGCAGGCTGAAGAAACTGCTGACAGCCAATCAAGGCAGGATATTAACAAGCAATAGTAAACTTTTTTCTGGTTGAAAGATCCACACTCATCTCAAACACTTGAACACTTTCTCAATATAAGTTGTTTCTATGATGCCTCATGGAAATTTTTTTATTATCACAGTACTTATGTAATAAATGAAAATTGTGATTAGCAAAAAAGGAATACTTACCAGAGACATCCAATTCCCTGACCTCACTAGAGAAGGCACAGTTATCACACATTCCTGAGAAAGAACAACTGTAGATGTTTAGCATGGAATTTCAATCAAACACTGAGAAAAAAGAGTAATATTAACTATTGACAGTCGCCAGCAACAAATTGCACCATTGCAGTCTTGTAAAGACTCAGTAAAGTGTCTGAAGAAAGCACCTCGACGGCATTGTGTTTTGGTCTGTAAAAGAAACCAAAGCTGAATCAACAACTAAGGGGAAGGACAATGGCAGATCCAATATATTGTGGAGAGATCAAAAGTATTATGATCACTTTGAACAAAAGGGTCACCCACATTTCCAGCAAAAGGAACATGGTGGCAGACTTTCTAGCAAACAAAGGGTTACAAGGATCACCTAAGCTTTAAATTTTGTGGTAAAAAATTGAGTAGTGCACGTCCAAATGGTATCTGGTAAACCTCAATTGAAACTCCATCTACCTTTGACAAAGATTTTTTACTTGGATTTCTGTCAAATTTGATGGACAAGAGACAGCCTCACTTAATATCTGATGGATAAGAAGAGGATCAGTCCATATATTATTTTATATTCCATTTAGCATTTATATTTATTTGCCAACACCATTTTCAGGTAAGTTGATAGTAGAACACAGTGGTTACATTTTCTAGGTAGTTGGTAGTCACAGGGCATCTCTTTGGTATCGACTGTGTGCTAGTGCTATTATCTAGGTCAATGGACCTGGTGGCCACTTAAATATTCACGTAAATAGCAAAAATCACTGAATAGTTTGCTTTAAATCACGTAATGAAAAAAGCCAAGTCAGCTGACTAAGTTTTGCTATAGATCAGACAAACAATATATTGAAAGATAACTGAATATAAAGATATATGTGCGTGTGTGTGTATACACACATGAATTTTTACACTAATAGATCTCACAGAAAGGCATATTATTCTAATAGTGCACAAATTCCAAGGAAAATATTTTGTTAACCAGAAGTATGACCCAGTGAGATAAGCTATTTTTTTTTCAGGTTCGCAATTAATAACAAAAATCATACCAGACAATATCGCACGATGTCATAGAGATTCTGCAATCCGGAATTTTCGTAGAAGACCATTGAGCTCTGCAGATAAAGTATTACTACGAAGATGTTATAACATTTTAAAGGCCCGTTTGTTTCCCATTAATAGAAGAATGAGAATGAAAAATATAGCATTTATGGGCACACACAAAAGATAGAAATTTAAATGTGGTGGCTTGATGTGATGGAGAACGGTCATATTTTTCATTTTAATGGCCAAATAATGGGAAACAAACTAGGGCTAAATAATTGTAAAATGAAGAAATTGACAAACAAAATACTACCTGCCTAGGAACATCTGCTGCTCGAAAGTATAACAAACATTCAGAAGGAAGTCCATCTCTTCCAGCTCTACCACTCTCCTGCAATGAGAGACGTTACAGAAAGAGAGACAGTGTAGTGAAAAGTAATCTTATCACAGGGGGACAATAACCTGATAATACGTTTCCATTGATTTGCTTAAGCTGTGATGGATGACAAACCTGACTACAAGCAACCATCATATTATACAGTAACAAAAATATATTCATTATCATTCATACGACAAAAACCACATATATGCACACTCATACACTCAGAGAGATGCATATAAGTGCCAATTAAAAATCAGCAGAAAAAACAAAAGGATAATTCTGTTGCCGTTATGTCAAACAGGCTCTGAATAACAACAAACTGAACCTCATTCCCAATAAATTTGGGGTGTCGACTACATGAATCCTTTTTAACCACTCCATTCAATCCAGCACTCAGTCTACTGAAAGATCCACAGAAGTCCAAAATTTTACAACATCAGGACATTTTAATTATGGGGTCCCTATTAATCAAAAATTAGTAACAAGAGAAAGGAAAAGGGATGAAAATTTGCAAAAGGTAAATTCACTGCAGCATGCATAATTTCCAGAAGAAATATATATATATACATACATACATACATATATATATACATACATATATATATATATACACATATACATATACATACACATATATATATATATATATATATATATTCAAATCGCCCACAAACTAGAAGGATAATGCTGTGTGTTTGCCTTCATCATGAGCAAATTGCCTCAATTTTTGGAATTAGAAGGAGATCTAGACATTTTCTACACACACAGACTGGCTTCTTTCTTAGATTTCATAACTCATACTCTACAAATAATGGGCTAACTAATAGGAGAATCTCAGGCACTCAAAAACATATGGAAACTTCTTGGTTAGATAATACAATCAACAGAACCAAGTATAGAACCTTCTAACGCTATCTTTGATTTTTTTCTTTAGTTTTGAAAGGAGTTTGAAATTATGGTTTCATGAACCACATATTGCAAGAAAATTAAAGGAAAATGTGCATGGCTAGTGGCGAGCAGCCAGAAGAGGTAGAACAAAATAAACAACAATCACTAACCATCTGGTTTGTTGATTCCCATGCCAAATGCAACCTGCAAAGCATGAAACCTTAATATAAAAAATTTCATCACGACACTAAAGAAGAAGAATTTATCTTCACCTACCGTGCCAACAATGACTTGTAACTTGCTTTTGCTCCATCTATGACATCAAAGACACCCGAGAGACTTAAGTCAAACATATGATAAAGCACATAGAGACCAACATTTAGCAATCATGAAGGCCAGTAATTCAGATCAAGATCGAGAAGTTTGGAAGGTTGAACGAGATCCAAAATTTAATCACATAACAGAAATATCACTGTGATATGGATTTGATATTAATTTATCTAAAGTTTCCTTTCCGGAAATAAAGAAACATAAAGTTATGTTTCCATCTCACTTGTATGCTACAAATTCCCTGAACCGAAACAATAGACAACTGGACTAAAACTATACAATGCTAGCAGGAAAAGTAATTTCTAATAATATCTGAACCCATTAGAGTCTTTTTAATTTGAACTATTACATGTCAGATTCATACAATACCCCTAAACATTTATCAAACCATTTGAGCTTTTAAGCATCCTTCCTTTATTTATTTATTTATTTTTTTTTCATGCATCCACTTTAAAACCAAATGCAATTTTCCCATTTTAAGAAGATGAAATTAGTAAAGGATATATACATAACCTAAAAGTTTTTATAACCTCACAACCACATTGCAATTATTCTTTCACCATCAGTATAAAAATGCAAGTAATGTGACAAAGCAGGCAGAAAGTGTCATGGTCCACCAACAAGAACAAATAAATTGCGAATTAGTTTACCGCAGATGAACTTTCTCACGAGCATTGACATCCATGTCTGCATGATAGTAATCAGCCGAAACCCCCCTGTCACGCAATTCTTTTGCGACCTACATTATTGACAAGAAGAAAAAGAATCATAGCATCTTGGATAAGGATCACAAGAGAAACGTAATTTCAGTAGTCACCCATCCATGCAAAGCAATTACAAGGGATTTCTGAGCATCAGATTTGTCGGATGATAATGACGATAAAATAAGAGAGAAAATATTAAGTACCTGTTCACACTCCTNAGCTACTTGAATAATATATTGCAATTCAGCACTCATTAACAAGATTATTGTACTTAACTCGCAACAAGAGTGGGACCCACATAAAAAAATGATCCTTCTTTCTACACCATAAACTGAACGCCAAAAAAAGTGAAATGGAAAACAATGGAACAGTACGCTGAGATCACTGTCTGCTACGAAGTAATTTTTGTAGAAAATAGATTATCTAAGCTACCAAGAGGTTTCTTTATCACATCAAAGCTTTTTGTCCATCGTTACATCCACAATCAAAATGTCCAAAAAGGGAAACATCCACTCATAAAGCATAAAAGGTTTAAATAGAGTTCAATATTGTGGTCTAGAAAATTCTAAATAAACAAAATTATAGCTGCTTAAAATTTTCTCAAAAATATATGAGAAAACCTAACACTGAGTATATTCTCTTTCCCCCCTCTCAAATCCTGTTAACCCTGAATTTATCCTGGATCCTTCCCCTCTCCATCATCTTTGTCACTCCCTTATCTCACCTCCTCCCGGTGTCAACTGTCAACAATCAGACTTTGTACCCTATCATCAACCCCCAATTAACTCTCAATGTTTTATAAAAGCTTATCCCACTTAGCATATTAGTCCCTACCCTGAATGGAAGTCCATCTTTTCGATCAAATTTTTCCCTAGTTACGAAAGCATTGAAACTTCGTATACCATAAAACTGTGAAATCTCTATTTAATTGTAATCCACTGGAACAAACTGCGAGAAAGTTCCACATCTCAAAGTTCCAAAAGAACACAATCTCCTCGTAGTTGCATCTCTGTTTCCTCGTGAATCCACTGTACCAAGTTGGTATATATACACCCTTTGAATTTTCCAAAGATTAGGTTCTCTCAACAACTGCAGTCTCTGTTTCCAAGTAGTCCAGTTTATCAAGCTTAATAGAAAATCAACACAATAAACTCGCTAACATATAAAGACAAGTAACATGTGAACACCGATATCAATAACTCATCCAAGACTTACATAGATCATCAATTTGACAAGTTAAAAATTGATAAGTAGAGTGAGTCTGATTAATACACTTTTTAAAATAAAAAACGAAAGCTTGTTAATCATGCTAAAAATATGCATACATCAAGATAACGGGTAACCCTCTGTAAGTATAAGAAAAACAAGTCTAGATGTATAATCACAATCTCCCGACCAAGAATATATCACAACCTCCCAACCAAGAAAAGCTAAAGATAAAGGAAAGTCTTTAAACCCCTTTGGTGCATAACCCAATAAAGGCAAAAATTTTGTTCTCCCTGGTAGATCGCCAAGTAGCGGTTCTTTTTCTAAATAAATTCTGGACTTGCTATCTGTCCCAACACCCAAAATAGTAACCAACACCACAGCTTTCCATGTAACATCAGTCAACTATCCTGTGCCTTATTCGCATCAATGAGAAGACAAGGAGGACAATTAACAGAGTGCACCATATAAAGTTCAGGAAAATCATGCAATTTGTATGCTTACATCAATAGAAATTAGAGATAGGCGACCAGTATGGTGACATTTTTCAAGTTTTGACATAAATCTCTTGCTCTTTGATATCTTTTCAGGAGTGACATATAATATGTTGAGCTCCCCTTCACCCTTTTCAAGAGCTTTATATATGAACTTCTCATCTTCCTTGGTTGTTGTTGACGTCAACATGAATGACGGGATGCCTAATGCTCCCAAACTCATTACCTGGTGCAACCAAAGTCAGAGAGACAGTTCTGTTTCACTACTAAAGAGACATCAAACTGTAGGCCAACCTGATCTTGAATAAGAGAAAGTAAAGGACTGACGACAAGAGTGACTCCATTGCGAAGGACTGCAGGAAGTTGGTAGCACAGACTCTTGCCTCCACCAGCAGCCATTATTACGAGGACATCTCTTCCACTCATGATCGCATTTATAATCTGTTTATAAAGAACTGTTTAGTGGTGGACTAATGCTGAATAATCTTAGACAAAATCAGCAGCATGTAAACAAACATAAATCTTCTATTGGCATGCAACCAAAATAACTTGACCTGAAACAATGATGTTTTCCCTAAATAAGCACCACAGAATTAAAAAATTGTCTCATCCTACTTAAAACTTTTATAAGAAGTATTTGTTCAGTAAGTAGATTAGGACAATTTCTTTTTCTAGTTTTTATATTGATATTAACCCAAATAACTAACAACGAGAGAGATTTTGCGTATTATTTAATTTGTTATTAGTACTACTTTGGGATTTCCTTAGGAAGAAGATGTAAATTCTTGAGGTGTCAGAAGTCCTTCGGAATGGACAGTTGGAGACAAAAACAATAATTTATTACCATCAGGAAGTGAACCCATGTTATTATTTTGCATATCTCTTTACCAATTTCAGGATCATGCTTGGGGCTGATTACACCAATCAGCTTTAGAAAATCGAATGAATGAAGAGAGTAAAGCATCATTGTCAGTTGAGGTACACTAATTGTTAAATTCCCCAAGTATCAATCAGGAAGAGAAACAATGATATTGCCAGAAACAACCACTTGTGGCAATGTGGCAAGGACATCTTCATGAGAGAAGTCATTGCAAAAGTATTATTTATTAGTAACATCACATATTTCTTTCAATTTCTAGTAATATCAAATAATCTGCTTTCGAGGTTTTAATACATAAGAAATGGATTATGTGTACTGAACTCTATCAAATGACGATTGTGCCAAAAGGAGGAAATGGACAAAGAAACATAATTAACTGGAATACCAGGCTAAGGCTGTCAAAACTTTTGAGCATTCTTTCAGTTAAGCATTTAAACAGATTAATATCAAAGTGTTGCATTGATCACATTCGCAAAGATTAATGGTTTAACATATACACCCCTAAGAGTGTTGGTTATGCTTAAGAATAGCATGCATGGATTTGTTACTTATTTCTTCAAGTAACAGAAGTCTGTCAAAGTAAGACCCCGTTTGTCCATATTTTCTAAAACTCATTTTTCCCCAAACTCATTTTCAACCGAACATTTTCCCACTAAAATAATTTTGCAAGAAACCACAAGTTCTCCCCAAAAAAAAATACATTTTATGAAAGATATTCTTAAAAAAATCAGTACCAAACAGGGGCTAAGTTATTTTCTTATAAGTAAACCGTTAAAGATTAGACAAACAAGCTCTTTAACCAGAATGTCTTCAAATCAACCTATTTTCTTCTTCAAGTGAGCCTTAGAAAGTAAAATTGACAAAAATGGGAAGGAAAGTACTAACCTCACGTTGATTTACGCGATATGAAGATATGCCAAAAACATTAAACCTAATATCATCAGCCCGGGAGTCCCATTCGAAAGTTCCAGACCATTTCCTCATGGAAACAGAAGTTTCATCCTCACCACAGCTTCTAGACGATTCAAAATGTTCTAACAGAGCTTTCAGTTCAGATTGTCTCTCATACAGCTCTTCTTGATGATCAAGCAACGACTTTATTTGGCCTGAATAATCAAAGAAACAGATTAAGCCCCAGTTTGATACAGATTCTTTAAAACTCATTTTCCCCCAACCTCATTTTCAACCGCGCATTATGCCAACAGACTGCACGTGATCAGTAACTTTTTTTTCTTTTCAAACACATATTCTTTGACAAAAAAATGAAGGAAATTACTTTTCTCAAGATATTCTTCATCAAAATAACCTTAAAAAAACTTTAAAAAATAATAATTAGGCATCTAAATATTATTGTTTAACATAAAAAAAAAAAAAAAAATGATACCTTGAACATCTTGGAGCTTCATTTCAACGTCGAGCAGCTCCTCCAAAAATTCTTCTTTACTTCCCATTTTAAAATCTCTCTTTTTATGTGCGAAATTCCTAATCAATAATTAAAAGAAAAAACTAACGCGTGGATTAACGATAAACTCGAGTAGATGTCGGCATTTCCTAAAGAAAGCAGTTGCAGTAGGAGTAGGTTTCGCATTAAAAATTTCATGTGTTAATCCTGCAAATCGAATTTGTGCTCTCCCTCTTTCTTGATTCTATAAAATGGAGGGTTTTGAGGAATCCATTTAGAGGTGAACACTGCGAGTTGTTTTCACAATTAACCTGTTCGGCCAAATCCAGGCCAAAATCCCCGGCCGTTTAGCACGCTTGTTACTTTCATATGCCTATCGCTGGGTACAATTGGGCTTGCGAAGCCAAGTTTTTAGGCCTGTTTTGTTGTGTTCCAGCTGTGTTTAATTTCAGGCCAGTCAATATCCGACCTGTTTAATTTCAGGGGAAAAATTCATAATTCAAGTGTGTTATTTACGTCAATTCACAAATCAGATAAATACGTCAAAATTTTTAAATTCAGGTATATATGTAATTAATTAAAAATAGTTATTAATTAAATATAATAAAGTCACAGTTATATGATTAATGGTCACGGATTCATAATTATAGGAAACTGATTTATTTTCTGATCACATATCATCAAATTAATTAGATACAGATTATTTCGAGGTCGCAGATCCAAAATTTACAGGTCTCAAATTACTTCAAGGTGAAATTAATTGGTCACGGATTGTCAAATTCTTATATCACACTTAAACAGTTGATCACAAATAATTAAGGGTGCGGTTGGTTTGCTATTTTCGGGCCATTTTCCGTTTTCGAAAACGCGAAAAATGGATCGTTTTCGAAGAAAACTAAAAATCGTTTTAAAAATGAAAATACAAACCAGCCACTGTCTAAATGATTGGTCACATGCGTCAAATAGTGGTCACATACCAACACAAAACATCCACCAGACAAACATTCTCACCATCAACACACAAAACACCATCTAAACCCTACCCAAACCTCTAGATCTATCACCACAGAATCGTCGTCGCCGCCGCCGCCGCCGCCGCCATCTCACAAAACACCGTCTAAACCCACAAAATCGCCACCAACCCAAATTACTTATGCTTTGCGCGGGTTGCTACAGTGTTCCGAGGATTTCATTTAACCACCGGGGTGGTGGATCTGGTTCGCGATTTCATTTCACTACCTCAGCTCATGGTGATTCATGAAGGAAAAATTGCGATGGCGTGGTGCTTCTTCATTACAATAGCACCGGCGAAGGGTACTACAACAACGACATGCTCTAGTGGCGACAGCATCTGACGAAGACATGAGATGGAATCAGGGAGATAAAGAGAGAGAGATGAAGAAAATGAGTCAGGGGCAAGAGGGAGATGGAGAGAGAGAGAGTGAAATGAAGAGAGAGGGGAAATGATTAGGGTTTTTAAACGAATTAGGTGGGTTAATTATATATAATACCTGATTTTTGCATAAATAAATTTCACCCCTGAATTTTGAATTTGAAAGTTTTAGTACCTGGTTTTCTATAATTTCCTCTAATTTTAGGCCTATTTGAGCCATATTATTTTCTCATTAAAATGAAAAATATGATCGTTATCCATCACATCAAGCCACAATATTTGACTTTTTATCTCTTGTGTGGGGCCCATAACGACTATATTTTTCATTCTCATTTTTACAATAATGTGGCTCAAACGGGGGCTCAACATAGGAAAATTTCATTTCTAAAAATTGCATATAAACTTTTTTAACTTTGCATTTTAATAAGGAGGTACAAAAGATTGTTCTTTCAAAAATCAAGTGCATCCATCCACCCCCACTCAAAACCAAAATTTATGACCCTCTCTCTACCATCTCTCTATTTGTGTTGTCTCTCTGTTCTCTCTCAATTTGCTCAACCGCCATCCACCAACTTGTGCTACCGTCGTGGAGAACCAACCATCGCCTTCCCTCTCACAATCGTTGGTGGATCAACACTCAATCAAATTCCAATTGCAGGGGGTGGAGAACCTAACTCAAGCCCCACACAAAAAACAAATGAATCTTGAAATTGAACTTGCATAGTGGCTGGTAAGGCTGCTACAGGAGTAGCGTTGCAGTGGCTAGCGGTAGAGATGACACCATAGGGACGATGGATGTAGACGAAAGATGAGGTGATTGGTGTGATTTGGGTAGTAATTTTGAAGTCTGAGGCTGAAGAATTTAGCATTTGTGATTTGGTGGGACATCAACAAAGCTAGGTATTGGTGTGAGATTGGCTACAAATTTGGAGTTGGTAGTGGTCAACATGATGGTGAAGATGTTGTTTGGAGTTGATATTTACCCAAAA